GGCCGGAACTCGCGGAGCCGCGCCGCGATTGCAGCCCTTCAATTTTTTTTAATTTAAAAATCAAAATAAATGTTAATATATATACATTAAATATTTCTAAAAAAAACAAAATAAATATATTAATATATATTTTCTATAAATTTTGAATATAAATAATAAAAAATTATATTAATTTATAATAAAAAATAATATTAATATATATTTAATTTTTGGTTTTTTTTTAAAAAATTATTTTGTTTTTTTCGTTTTTTAAAATATATATAGATATATATTTATTAAATATATATATTTATATATTTAATATATAATATATAAATTTAATATATATATTTTTTGGTTTTTTAATTTATTTCATTTTTTTCGGTTTTTCAAATATATATAGATATATATTTATATATAGATATATTTCGGTTTTTAATATATATATTTTTTTTTTTTTTGGCCGGAACGATAGAGGATCTATATAAACCAAAAGCACGCAACAGCGCGAATAAAAATACAAAGTTCCCAACGGGAAAAGAAAAAGCAACCAAAAGCTGAATAAAATGGGAGGACAGGTCTGACGACCGCCTAGAATCCCGACTCTAGCAACGCTAGAAACCTAAAACAAGACTCGAAGACACCCAACACAACAACAAACAAAGAAAAACTACAAAGATCCCACCAGGATAATACCCGAGTGTCTGATCCCAACAGGATAATAAATGTGACACTCGGGCTCACAGGGCCAAAGGCCAAACCAAAAACACATGAAACAAAAACAACCAACCAACCTAAAACTAGACAACGAAACAAGAAGGACATACAAGCCCTTCCACAGAGGCAAATAAGAGACGAACCACCAAGCACCAAATCGACCACAAAGGAAACCCTTAGCCCGAGAAGGCCGACCCCTCCACTGCCTAACTGCCTAGCTGAGCCGAAACCCAAGCATCGGAATATCCCCAAAAGGCCAATTCTCCCCAAGCCGAATAACTCCAGATAGCACCTATCCACCGCAGTATCAAGCCAACTAACACCACTAGCAACTCAATACCAACAGCAAACATTCCAGGACCCCGCCTAAGAGAGTGAACTCAGCCACCACCGAGCCGGGCCGAGCCTACTAACACCACTAGCAATTCGGAACCGATTGGCAAGCAAACCAAGGACCCTGTGACAGAGAACCGGGAGAGGGAGCCGAGCTGGAGTATCAGCCCTAGCCACTCCGGCCAGAGACCGAAAGCTGCCGGAGCCGCACCCGACCCCTTCCCGCTGAGCTTCACCTCGTCCAAAACCCGCCGCAGCTCCACGGTGGTCAACAATCGCGAAACCGAGACAGGGACTCACCGCAGGACCACAGCACCGGAGCCGCTCCATCACCGAACCGCAGCACCGGAGCAAAAGGGCGGCACCAACAGGGCAGCACCATCCCCTCATCGTAGCACCGGAGTAGGCGGCTTGGATTTGGGCAAACTTCAATTAATTGCGCATCAAGGCGAGGGAAGCCGCAAAAACGGGAAGAGGTCGAGCGGCCAGGAGACGCCTGACAGCGAAACTCAGAAGCCTAGTGGAAGGCGGCGGAATCGATTGCAGCGGCTCTTTTCTTTCGAGATTTGGGGAAGGAGAAACGAGGGTTGGGTTTTTAATAATATATATATTTTAAATTATATATATATATATATGTTTAATATATATTTATTTAATATATAGTTTATTTTTTTTTTTTTTAGTTTTTTTAATGTTAAAAAACCGAATTAAAAAAAGTCTAATGAATTTTTTAATATTTTTTTTAGTAAGGGCAAAAGAGGAATATTTGGGTGCGGTGAATAGCAAAAGTGGGTGCGGTAAATAGCAAAGCCTTCCAAAAGGCACATTTGTGCAACGTGGCCTCACAACAAAGTGAGAACGTCTGCCACGTGGCGGCACAACAAAGGGAATACATTTTTCCTTATAAGAATAAGAGAGATACTAGTGCAATACCCGTGTATTACACGGGTGTTGAATTAGAAAATTTTTGTAAAAAATATTATTTTTTTATTTTTTAAAAATAAAAATAGTTTAATTTTATATAAAACATTATCTTGAGTTTTAATTAAATTGTCAAATTATATTTTTTTAATCATAATAAGCAAACACCTGTACATTAAATAAAAATGTCAACCCGTGTTGAATTTGTTTACTTATATCATATAATAATATCGATATTATTTACTATTACATAAGCAAAAAAATATATATCTTAAGTAAATAGAAATATTATGGTGATATGTATATGCGTAAGTGTAGAATATGCTTATTTAATATTATGAAAAATATTAATTGATTAATCATTTTATTTTCTAATTAATTGAAATAAATAATTTTATTATTATTATAAAGATAAATATAATTTATTTATTTGATATATACAATATGTATATGAAAATGTCAACCCGTGTTGAATTTTCTTACTTATATCATAATAATATCGATATTATTTACTATTACATAAGTACAAAAATATATATCTTAAGTAAATAGAAATATTATGGTGATATGTATATGCATAAGTGTAGAATATGTTTATTTAATATGAAACAAAATATTAATTGATAAATAATTTTATTTTCTAATTAATTTTAATAGATAATTTTATTATTATTATAAAGATAAATATAATTTATTTATTTTATATATACAATATGAATGTCAAATCGAAGTTCATCAAAAGATGATTAATTTGATATATTATATATGTAAAACTGATAAGAAATACAAAAGTTATCAACTTTTAAAATATATTTGCAATTCAATGGTTATCAGCGAAAGAGGCAGTATGGCTCAGGAACTTCTTAGTGGACTTAGAGGTTATACCGAGTTTGCCACGTGGTATCACCGTGTACTGTGATAACAGTGAAGCAGTAGCGAACTCAAAAGAACCTCGAGCCCATAGGGCAAGCAAACACATAGAGCGCAAATACCATCTGATTCGGGATATCGTTGGTAGAGGAGACGTTGATGTTGCCAAGATTGCGTCAGAGGACAACCTAGCTGATCCTTTCACGAAGAGTTTGCCAGGGAAGGTCTTCGTCAAACACGTGGAAGGAATGGGAGTCATGAGCATGGCAATAGGATCGACATAGGTCTTTTAGAATAACGGATTGATAGGACTATACTGTAAAAGCGAAAGCTTTAAGTATAAGTGGGAGATTGTTAGTGTTATATACTGAAAGCTTGGCTTTGCATGTTATTACACATTTACCCTTTATGAATGAGAATCATGTTAGATTAAACAAGTTCTACGTTCTGTTGTTCTGCACTTAGATAGGGTGGGTCGTCATCGGGCGAACCGAAGATCACTCTATCAGTCACTTGCGAACAAGAATAGTTGTTCACAACCTAGATGGACATGAACACCCCATCCGAACGGTTGTAGTGTCAACTGTACAGTTTGTCTTGACTGATTAGTTGCACTAGTACATTTATGTATTGAACAGGATCCCAGAGAGGAGAAGTTCATTTTATACTGATCGTCGTAAATGAACTAGGCCTCGGTTAATTACTGCGTTCTCTTAACCCGTAAGATATTAAACAGGCAGATATATATAATATATATTACTTTGATTCACATGGGTGAGGTTCAGTTCGCTGGATTAATATTCCTACTGTTTTGGGTAATATTATTATATATAGGATGTGCTGTTAGGATATTTACGGTCACCATGTGCGTTAGTTTGATGATGTCCCCGGAGTGAGTTCATGAAGGATTGTTATGCTAAACCCTGCAGGTGGATTAAATTCCGGCATAATAAGAATGTGATGAACGAGCGCTAGCTTCGGTGAAATAATAATAAATTAATTAATTCTTGATTGTCAGTAATCGAATTAATTAATGGACATTATATCTTAAACGTGGGGAGGTAAATCGAGTAATTATTATTGGAGTCTCAAATGTAATTTGGGCTAGGGAAAGGGAGTGCAATAATATAATGTTGGTGGCCCATTAATATTATTTAATTAATTAGAGGAGTGGGTTTGGCCCACAGTTAGTCTAATTAATTAAGGAGCCCTTTTCCTAATCTCCTTAGGGTCCCTACTGTAGCTCTATATATACATCATTAAGCTCATGAGAAGAGAATAGAAGTCTCATTCTCACGTGAAACCATCTCTCTCTCTAGATCTCATTCGAGCTTTATCTTCTTCTTGTTGCTCCACTGGTACAAGTTGAAGAAGGGTGTATTGAGTAATACAGTAGAAGATCTGTAGGTAAACCGAGACGAAATTGATTTTGACCTACAGAACTAACCGGAAGTCCGATTGAGACGTACAGTATACCCAGACGACCGTCTCGACGAGAGCTTTCCATCGCCGCCGACGTCGCCGGAATCCGACGCCGCACGCGCCCTCACGCGCCGCCGGAAGGTGTCTGGCAGCAAAATTTCGTTTTGATCTGTTTGCATCCGTTTGATCCAGTTTTGATCTGATCTTGTTCGTGCAACCCAAGACGCGTGTTGCGGTCAATCAATTGCGGTCAACCGTTCGTGGTCAACCAGATCTACATAAATTTTAAGCCGTAAGTTCTCTACGTCAAACCTTTAGATCCGCTGCGCATAGGTTTACGTTTGCTATTGAATTCGTGATTTGTACATAACGAGATCCTCACAGATCCCAACAAGTGGTATCAGAGCACTTGGTTAATTCGTTTTGTACAAAGTTCGAATTTTTACGGCTTTATTTGACAAGATGTGTTCAAACGCAGCCATATATTGGATTATATTTGCATAACTCGGTTTTGCAGGAAAATAGTTAATCCACTATTATGGCCGATTATGTGTTTGATGAATGTTGTTGAATGTGATGTATGGTTTTAAATTTGTTTTTAAAGCCTCGGGCATGTCGAGGAATTTATGGATGAATGTTTGTAATAATTATTCGCCCGGGGGTTGACCGGATAGATTTAATTATTTGTTTAGAAAACATGTACATCCATTCGTTGGATCTAGGATCGAATTATGTAATTTTGTAAATTATATTTTTCGTGTTGTGATCGTGTGTTGATAACCGGGAGATCACAAGAGATCAACGAGCCTCGAAGAATTAAAAAAAAAAAAAAAAGGCGTTTTTCCGGCGAACTGGTGGCGGCGGCCGGCGAACCGGCGGTGGCTGGTGGCGGCGGCAGGTGGCGGCTGGTAGCTGGTGTTTTTGCCTTGTTGTCCAAGCAGTACAAGATCAACCAGGATTCTACTGCTTAAAGGAGTTCCAGTTGAACAGGGAAAAGAACTGTCACAGTTTCCTTGTTTAAGGAGACTCAATATTTAATGGCCATAATAGTGGATTTATTTATTTATTTAATTAAATTTATTATGCCATTAAATTATTATTTATGCATGTTAATTAATTATGTTCTTGCATGGGATTAATTTAGTATTGCAAGATTAATTATGCATGTTAATTAATTATGTGATGCATAGGATTAATTTAGAATTGTGTCAATAAATTATGCATGTAATTAATTATGTTCTGGCATGGATTAATTTAGAATTGCATAAATTATTGAACATGTTAATTAATTATTGCATTGACATAGATTAATTTAGAATTGCATGAATTAATATGCATGTTAATTAATTATTGCATTAACATAGATTAATTTGGAATTGTATAAATAGTTAAAAATCCTCATTAAATTATACTAAGTTTGAGAAGGGATTTTAAATTAAAGTTAATTGTAAAATTCCTAAGGCCTCCATTTCTAATTTGTCGGTAAATCAATTAATTGCGGCAATGGGCTCCCCCACGGGTGACATTGCTAAAATTGGTTGTAGGAAATTACCAGGACAAATTTCTAAAATTAGACGGTTAGAGGGAATCTTAAGAGAACGCACGGGCCTCCCCACGGGGGACGTGTAATCAATTTTGACAACCTCAGAATCGAGAAATGGGATTCACTTAGAATGCGACTTATCTATAAACTCCCCACGGGGTCCCTGGATTTATTGCATGGCCAAATGGAGACCGACTATTAATTTCGTTAGTCATGAATGTGGTTTTGACTTATGGAAATTAATGGGCCCTTGAAAAGTCCTTCTCTTACAAAATGCGAGTTTGTAGGGCGACCCACGTAGCATACATTCTCACGAGGTGTAATAGATGTCGGTGAATTTAAGTTAATATTGTTTTGAGGATCTCAATATTGACAGTTAAATTCAAAAGTGTTTAATCTGTAAAATTTATTTGCATGATTCTCAGGATATTCATCATGTCGTTCAATCCGTTGTCTGTCATTCTAAAAGAAAATCAGCTTACTGGTCCTAATTACATTGATTGGAAGAGGAACTTAGACATAGTGTTGACTGCTGAGGGTTATAAGTTTGCTATCACTGATGCTTGCCCGGCGGTGCCGGCGGCTGATGCTCCTGAGCAGGAGAAAGAGGAGTATGCTCGGTGGAAGAAGGCTGATGAGATGGCGAAGTGTTACATTCTGGCTTCTATGTCGAATGTTCTTCAACATCAGCATCAGTCTAAGGACACTGCAGCAGATATACTTCTCAATCTCAGGGATCTGTTCGGACATCAGTCTAGGGCTGCTAGGCAAGAGGCTTTGAGTGCTCTGATGAGTACGCGCATGGCCGAGGGCACACCCGTAAGGGAGCACGCTCTCAGGGTTATGGCGCAGCTCAATGAGCTTGAGGTTATGGGAGGTTATATTGACGGGGAAACCCAGGTTGATATTATGCTCCAATCTCTGCCGAAGAGCTTT